TAGTCCTTATGCGGTGATCAGCAGTTCTATTCATTTGCTGGGCAGTATCACTTTCATAAACGTACAAATCAATTTCTACTGCAGACTGGTGCAGGGGACAGTGTAACTGACGTCAGTGCGAGTACAGTGAAAAAGAAGGCGCTCAGGGAAGCCATGGAAGACTGCGGATTCGACGGCAAGGAACTATTTACCAGGCTGTACTACAATGATGTCAAAGAGTATGTACAATGTGTTTATAGTGTGAGCTAGCGCAGTTACAGTTGTACTGTTTAGCCGGCTGTATAACAACGATGCTAAAGAGTATTTACAACGGAGTGGTAGCTTTGGTTGAAAGGTTTATGTTACAGAGATAAACTCGAGGATGCATTGCAGATTTGCAGCTGTATGTGTTTAGTTCGAGATGTGCTGTTCATGAGCGTGTGCGATAAGTATGTAGATGGTTATGTGTAGTAGGTTTTCAGCAGTTTAGTTTGTTATACGTCCAGCAGTATTGTTTACGAGGGTGGGTAACAAGTATGTAAATGAGTATGTGTAGTAGAGCTGTATCTGTGAGTTGAAGCAATTTTAGTTGTTTACCTTACCAGGCCGTATTGTTGCAGAGTCGCATCTGTATGAAGTGTTATTTTTTCAGCTGCATTGTTCGTGAGGGTCTGCTACAACCATGTAAATGAGTATATGTAGCAGAGTTTTTGTTGTATCTCGTACAGCTGTAGTTGCTATGTTCATCAGTGTGTGTTACAATGTTGTGAATGAGTATGCGTGGTAGAGTTGTAGTTCTATGTCAGTGTTGTACTTCTAGTTGTATTTTTATCTAGCCTGTACTGCAACGACGTGAAGGGCATGTGTAGCTGATTGTTTTCTTATCCTTCTTCGTCACAGGCTTTCTAAGTATCCAATGAGCTATTTACAATTTTGTGTTTTCGTATGTGTAGCAGATCTATCCTTGCCACAAAACGCTGTCATCCACACGATTACGTCGCGAACGCACTCGGCCAATACATGAGATTTTAGGGTTTATTACGCACTCGCGCGTCTGCGCATATATAGATGCATCCTTTGTGCACGAATATAGAACGCTCGCACAAACCTATATCGTGGTATTGTTCAGACGTTATTTTTCAGTACATACCGTACTTCGACAAGGTACACACACGCATATATTTTTATGCTCGGCATAGAGCTCAATGGGATGTGCACATATTGGCTACCTTTAGACCACGTTCTTTATCTGTGTGTTGGTCGCTTCGGCATTTCGATATACCTGAATGTGCACATTCGTCTGCTAGAAATTCACACCGGCTAAACACTAGAAGCTCGCCCCATGGTACAGGTTTATAATTGTTCTATCAAATATGGCATTGAAGTTTTCACCCTAAACGATCTTCGATACACTAGAATGTACATCTGCTCCGTTGAAACAGACGGCCGCCTGTAGAGTCTTGTGGGCAAATGGATGCATTCTATCGCTTGCAGCCATCGAAATTCATGCAACTTTGTGGATACGGAATGCTGTATTTAGCCATCGATGTACTGCTCATCCTGTTCCCATGCAACACCAATACATCACACGCGGGCACAGTTTACTTCGTATGTCGGCGCTATGGAAAGAACGCACCCCACCTACACCCTTAGATATCAATGCTCTGCCCGTGGAGGACACGGCCACTCCCGCCGAAGCAACAGCGGTATGCTGGGTACATGTTAGTGTGTATGCTATGTGTAAGTAGGTAACTGTACATTTGTACCTATTCAAGTGAATACCAATAAACGCATATTTGCCTTGCAACGTGCATAGCTTTATGCATGCGTGTTTCTGTAAAAATATGTACGAATGCATGTCATACAAAAAGAAATTATGATGGATGTGAACATAAATATGTGCGCGCACATATGTTTTGTGTGTGTGGGAATGTACGGCATGAATTCTATGTAAACGACATTTATATATTTGCAATCTTTGATGTTGGCTGCTCTGTGATTGTTTCTGTGAGCGTAACGGATACATCTGGGTTATCGCTACCTCGCAGAGCGATATATTTCACTCTCAAACTATATCGAAAGTTCAATAGTAGTCTGCGGTTCGAATAGTATAGTGATACTGGCATCGGGAAACCAGACGTTATTGTTGCACCTGTGAATTATGCATAATATTATACTCCCAATATATATGCACACCTGTGTGAGACAAATGTTGAAGGTTTGCAGCTACATGTCGCATTAGTCCGTGTGTGAATTTTTATACAGTTATATATATACATGTATAGTTCATGTACAGACGATTTCATAGCCCGCTAAAATAGACACGATTTTACACTATAAATTCATGTAGCTGCGCAAATTGTATTTCGTTGTCTTTGTATAAACATTTGCGGCACAATTTCTATCTCTTTCGGGCTTTACAGTCATCGACGGGAAAAACACTGCAAGAGACGCAACGTGTTTGGAGCTTAGTAGAAAATGCGAGCAAGTTTGTGCATAGAGTCAACAAAATCAAATCTAGACTTAATCTGAGCGGGTCTGCAGATGGGGAGAAAATTATACTAACATGGGATAAGGTACAGTAGTCCTCTCGTACGGCTGATAGGCAGCGAGTGTCTCGATGTGTAAATTTGCCCACAATATTGTTGTAACTTCGTAATAAGAAACATAGGCACATGTTTCTCAATACTATGCTTAGCATATTCCAACTGTCAAGGCATGTTTATTATGGAGTACCTGGCATGTGTGTGGTATCATGATACGCAAAAGCTTCCAATTCAACTGTGATGTCGATTCCGTTTTTGCATCCCAAATAGCTTCACTACACATAAAATGCTTACTATTAAAGGATCAACTACCAACGCACAATCTAAACATACGCCCCGCATTTTTTTTGTCACTCATACTTGAAGTAAAACACACCAATATATTCATTCAATCAGGATGAACCGGATTTCTTGGACTTTTTGGTTGCGGCTTCTAATTTAAGGGCGTGTGTCTTCGGCATCGCCACAACTTCTTTATTTGATGTGAAAAGTATGGCGGGTAATATTATTCCCGCTATTGCCTCGACAAATGCAATCACCGCCGGATATGTTGGTACGTGATTTTCATGAATGGATCTAGATACGAGTATGC